GACACCAGAATGGTAGTCCAAACCAATACTAGTGAAATGATTCTTGATACCAGAGTTGATACCACAACAGAAACCAAACTCCCTTCAGACAGACACTCTTTTAGCAAAAAAACACAAACAGCGTAATGACATCGAGCCTTCAAGCACTTTTAAAAGTTCACAGCAGCTTTTATTATTCACTTATTCAAGTAAACAACAAAGTTTCAGTGAGAAGCACATTTTGATGCCATTGTCACAACTTTGACTTGGTACTACCGTTACTGTAGAAAAGCAGAACTGATGTTTTCTTTCCTTTCAAATCAATTTGGCACCAAAAAATATGGCTACCATTTTAAAGCCAACATTTAGAATATTTATGGTATTATGTACATATATGGCACAGATTGATGGTGCAACGCTTAAAAACAGAGGCCCTAAAGTGGTTGCAGATTAAAAATGACACTGTTTCATACACAGTCTTTCTCTGTAAACTCATAAGTGAAGTATGAATTCTTTTCAAGAGTGTGTGAGAAACAGATGAGAGAAATCTAATCACGGGTGTGATCTATAACCCTAAGCTGATTAACGCGGTCAGGTCTTTTGGACGGATGTCAGACGTAACTTTTTCCATCTTCGTCTTTGAAGACATTTACCTTTTTTTTACTTTTTGTGAAATACAGTCTAAGATTTCACAGGTCAGTTGCTAAACTTGCGGTCATCATCTCATCTCCTCAACCAGTTCCCACCGCCTTTTCTCTTTGGCCCTCCAGCATTTCTTGGTTTCGAAAGCACATTAAGATTTCAAAGTTGATTTAGAAATATCACCCACGACCGTTTTTGACTTAACTGAACTTGTACAGAAGGAGACAATGTTTTTAAATTTATCTTGCTTGGAATTTTGCATTTATCCGCCAATTTTTTAACATAATTTATTATTATTTTTTTATTCAAAAAAAAAACACATGGCTAATAAAGAAAACAGAATTGACTTGTGCACCACTGCTTTCTGACTGGGAGCTTTCAAACTGAATTAATTTCACTGGAATAATTCATAATGCTGACTTGTTCATTCTGATCCTCAATATAGGAGCTAACAGCCAATAATAGGTGCAATAAACCAGCATGCCATAGCAAACATGACAGGTTTCAATGAAGCCTTTCACAGAAAGGGGGTGGTTAAACAAGTAGGATACATTAATGATGAATTTGTTTACCCTGCATGACATTACAGTGCAATGACTGTGTAAAACAACATTGTTTAACGTATGAGTGATGAGTGGCCGTTACTGCAATACCATTGTAAGAATAATGTAATAACAGGTGATAATTAGCTGCACTTTGCCTACAGGTTTGTAGAAACCGCTCGTCTGAAATCAAGGCTATTAATAGGGAGTTCAGCTCCCTTTGCTGGTAACAGCCTCTACTCAAACTAGATGTTGGAATACTGCTGTGAGGATTTGACTGCATTCAGCCACAAGAGCATTAGTGAGGTCAGGTCGTGATGTGTGATGTCGGATGATTAGTTTTAGATTAAAAACTCCATTCCAACTCATCCCAAAGGTATTGAATGACGCTCTATCACCCCAGAGAACACAATCCCACTGCTTCACAGCTCAATGCAGGGGGACTTTACGCCCCTCTAGCTGATGTTCAGCACTGGGCATGGTGACCTTAGGTTTGAGTGTGGCTGCGCATCCTATTCTACTTCAAATGGTTTTCTGTGCAGATTCTGACTGTGTGTGAACATTTTAACACCAACGTGAGCAAAGACTCCACCTTAATGTAACTCAGTGCACTAATTAGAAGGGCTGTCCATACTGGACCCCAATATGCAACTGCTTTGAGTCAACAGGTTTTCAAGTACAGGAAAACGTGTTGAAATTATCTCTGGTAAATAACCATATGCTACAGATGCAGCAAAGATAGAGCTTGGGTCAAAAAATGCTAGTGTATTCCTTTAAGTTTGGATGGAACAGCCTACAGATTACATACATCTATGCAGGGGTAGACAAATCTAAAAACTGCATAGATCATTAAGCCCACCAAGATAAGAATCTTATGGCCAAAATTAAGAATTACCTTCCAGGATAACAGAACATGCTTATGGTATATGCTCTGCATTCACTATTAACAAACATGCTTCAGTACCAAAAAACAGTCAGGTGTTGATGAAAAAGGGAATATTTATTAAAAACTTAACTGCCATTATGGTGACAACGGTGGTCGTCACTGCTGAGCTAGTCAGTCCTGACATCATCCACCCTAGCACCATTAGGTACTGTTTAGCTACTACAGCGATAGCCTCTCAGCGTAATGCCAGCTTTAACATCCTATTTGAGACCTTATTTCAAAGAGCGATGTTAGCAAACTTTAGCCAATGGAACAGCTGGGTGGACCAGCTTAGTAGATCAGCTTAGCAGGGGCGAAAACCAGTGTCACCACACCATCATGAAACGGTGGGTGATATATTATAATTAGTGGTCAAAGTGGGAAATATTGTCTCTGGGCAACTGGTAGCATCTACTTCTATCTATCTAGGTGTTTACCTCATGTGGAATGGCTGGCCATACAGAGACCTGGCCTGGCATTCATCCTCTCCCTGTGGATGTTTAATTTCAGCTCAATCTCTTATACAAATACCTGAAAACGACTCCCTAAAGCTATTCACACTTCCTCCAAGAAGTAGCCTCAGTTGAGGAACTGAAAAAATGTGTATATAGTAGCTTTCAAGACTATACAAACTCACTTAACACAGAAAAACACAGAACTATGTACAAATTTAGGATGACAAACGAACACTGAAAATCTGACTGCATATCGCTGCATACGGACAACCACTGAGACAAGGTTAACCGTGCTTTCAAATAGGATGGCCTACCTAATGTGGTGTTTTAATTTGAGTCAACAGCACACCTTTTATACTTAAGTAGGCCAACAAACGCCTGCAACGGAACTATGTAACCATATCTTGCATCTCACCACACACACACAACTCTAAACTAAACAACAGGAAAAAAAGCCTCAGGAATCATCTTCCCCTGTCGACCTCCTGACTTCGTGGGATTATAATCTAAACGTTAACATTTGGCCAGCACAATCTCAATCTGTGACCAGAAACACAAGACAGATTCCACACAGATTACGCCCATGGAGGGATTATACCAAGCTAAAGGTAACACAACTGTACGTGTGCATGTCCTCACTGACAGTAGCATAATGGTGCCTTCATGGTCAACTGAAGATACCAGCGTTCTCCAGCTTTACATGTCATCATGAAGACAGAGCGACGAGTGTGCGTTATATTCAAGTTCTGCTTCCTGGACTTACACCGAGATGCTTTTAATGACGCATCTAGTAGAAGCAGTAACAAATGGGCAACCCCATCAGACACAGCTCCAAGCAGCAACTTCCTGAACACTGATTTTCTCAACTTGATGGAAGGCAGACTGAATTCAGATTAACAGATTATACAAATCAAAAGTCAGAGTTTATCAATTTTGAGTTTAGCAAAAATAAAAAGGCTTTGTTTTCAAAAGATACCAGCAGACCGACACATCAACAACAACAGCCCTGTGAACCCAGGTAATACAAAAGATAAAGGCAGTTCCAGGATGTGAAAACTTCAAAACGTAACCGCACAGTACCAAAGGGGATGTACACAAAGGCTGTTATGGAGTTTCAAACCAGATATGCATTAGAACGACCTCTTAACTCAATACAGGAGCTAACACAGTAGTGCACTGAGATACAGCTACACCTTCAACCAACACTAAGTTTTTCCTCTCATATACCCACTGTCTTCCATTCATTTGACTCATTAATACCCAACAACCTTCAGTTTCTATGCCGACAGATGTTGGACGTTCTAAAAAATTCCACTGCAGGTTTTTTAACTCTTAATGTCCTTTGGTAGTTACTTCTACTCCAGGCATTATTTCATTGATGTAAAAACTTGAGGATGATTTTTCCACAACCAACCTCCTCTCATCAAACGCCTTCGGATAATACAGTAGGCCATCACAGGCGTTTGCATTTACCTCAAGGAAAGACTTAATCGTCCTCTGTGGTCTAGATGTGAGTAACCTAAAGTTGAAGTTGTACATTATTGACTAATAATAGTACTAACTCATCTCCCTCTTATGGAAGCGCATTCCCACTAGACTGAGAAGGGGAGAAAAAAGCCTGATTTTTTTTTTCCTCTCTTGTAATCAATTATTATTTTCTTAATAATGTTGGAATAATGACTTACGTCCACCAAAAGAAATAATGATTTATTACTTTCTTGAAATTCAATCCCACTATTTGGACATGGTATGTTGAAATTTCATCCAGATCTCTAGATATTAAATCATTATTCTGGGATTCTAAGTCATTTCTGAGAACATAAATCATTATCTAGTAAGAAAATGTCTTTTTCTATATACTTTTTTTGAGATAACAAGCCAATATCTTGAGACCAAAAGCTAATTATTTCGAGATGCTAAGCCTGTTTGGACAAACTGCTGCCAGGAACAGAGAAGGAGGAAACAATTAGGCTGTTTTTCTCCTCTACCTGACAGGAAAGTGGGTTTCCATACCATGCAATATCCAAAAACCCCTCCTTTTAGTGTAGTAGTACCGTCCAGGTCCAGTTTGCGGCTACTTGAGGCCGAAAGATTTAAGGAACAAGTAACAGAGTGGAGAACAAATTCCTGTCGTGTTTAAGAACTTATGGGAGCTGAAAAAGACGTCAGAAAAACAAGGTGGAACTAATTTTCGTTAAAGTCTGCTTTAGCTTTTTAACACAGTCCTGCAGAACCTATAACAACGTCAGTTCGACGCCATTACAACAGTTTACACACATTTGGTTAAGTGCTGCTCCAACCGCAACAACAGTAACCTAGGTTAACTGTGGCCTGTAGCCTACGCGTCTTGTGTTTTACAGACGTACATACACTAGCTACGCTCTCTCGGCTGCGTCTGGCAGCTGTGTAACCTATGTGTGCGGGGGGTCGACAAAGTGGAAAAGACAGGCTACTCACGCCCTGGTTTTGGGGAAGCCCATGGACAGCAGCACGTCCAGGCTGGAGCCGTGTTTGACAGTGCCCGGCCGGGTCTGGCGCTGCCTCCGCGGCGTAACTTTGGCGTAAAGCTCGTCTTTCGCTGCCATGGCTCACCGGTCCATTTGGCGCTGCACTACTCCTCGTGTTTCGCGAACTTTCGATGCGCCGGGCCACACAAACATGTACAAACTGAACCAAAACAGTGGAGCGGACAGCCACACCGCAGGGAGAGCGGGAGAGCGGGAGAGCGGAGCATGTACCAGGGACACAGGCTCTCTCACAGTCCGCTGCGCACAAACTCGGACTTCGCTTTCGTTTCTCGCTGCTGTACAATCTTAAACGATTTGGTTGACAACCAGAGACACTGCGCTCGTCCTTGTTCGCCCGCCGGAGCCGGACGTGTGAGGAAAAACGCTGTCAGAGTTCATTTTTGTGCAGAAATGGAGGCAGCATCCCCCGACTGACATTCGCTTCCTTCTTCGAGATGACTTATTTATGAATGGAGGTTTGACTGACGGCCGAATGCGCCTATCAGCGCGCAGCCTGCGCCTCGAGCCACGCCCACTGTCGTTTTAAAGGGACAGCGCCGAGCAACAGGGCAGATCTAAATGAGAGTTTTCATCATTCAGGCTTTGGCTCGCACATCGAGATGAGTGTATTTATGTAAGTGCACTGAGCGCATAGCTGTTACGTGAATAACTCTGAGGAAGGCAGGCAAACTGGTTTTTAAACGATAATGACAGGAGCAGGTTATGACCTCAGTTACAAAGGCTGTTTTGGATGTCCACCTATGTATTAAGAGAGAAAACACGTATAGCCCAGTGAAACGGACCGCATATCTCTGAATGGAGCCTATAGGCTGCAGCGTTGTGGGTCAGTGTAATTCAACGCTATCCAGGCCTAAAAGGAAACACGTTCACTTTACTACCTGACTGAATCTTCACACCTGGAGAAACCAGAAGTGGTCGTTCAAGGGTTGAAAGGAAATTTGACCCTCTTGATTCAGAAATTGCTGTGGGAAAATATGAAATGTGGCATGTACCGCCCCCTGGTGGCGTCGCTATATTTGTCAATAGGAGTAAACATACAGAAAAGCTTGAATGACACAAATGTCAATAACGTTAAAATATTTATTGAAAGAATTACAGCCAGAACATGCGACAAAGACTAAAGCAGCCAAGTATTGCATGTATTTTTATATTGTTTCTGTGCAATGTTCAAGTTAACCAAAAATCATTGTGCAAGACACTTTAAAGGTGGATTTGCTGTCAGACACATCAAACCAATGTCTTATCACAAATATCTAAATGTTCGATTTACAGCTTTGTGTGTGTCACAACTGTAGTAAAAAAGTACAATGCATCAAAAAAAAAACAGAACCAGAACATCTATTTACATTTCACAAGAGAAATTAAAAAACAAGAGAGAGGAAAAAAGACAAAAGTACAATCTAAACCCTTTGATTAGGTAAACAGAACAGTTGGATAAATAGGATATTAGTATGGAAATGTTCTAGTACCTTGTTTTTTCCTACATCAACATATAAGGACGTTTATGTACAATTCAAGCGGATACACAACACTAAAGTCACTTCACTAATCGGTCAGTGTCACTTATACACAAATTTAATAAGCTTATTCAAATTATATGTACTTCACATCACTTAACAAACATTGCACAAATGCTTTCCTGAAGGATGGCAAAGACAGTAATATTTTTCTACAGGGGGAAAAAAGCAAAAAAATTATATTGGTACCAAATTTCCACAGATTTGTTTATAGTAAAAATTCAAATTGACAACAGAAAGTAAAAGGCAAATGTAAATTTACTCAGGCCCTTATCCGCTACTCATGTTCTATCCCTCTGTTCTAAAAGTGAGAAAACCAAACAGCATGATCCAGTGGATGTTCATGACGCTTTCTGATACAAGGCTCAGCATTAGGGTCAGTGCAGTGCAAATGACCAGAGGTGGTATAAAACACACACACACACACACACACACACACACACACACACACACACACACACACACACACACAAGCTTAATCCCAGTTAAAAGACATCAGCACAGCAGGAGAGATCCTTCACGGCTAAACAGGTGAAAATGTAGGCTACACCACAAATGATGACTTCTGTTTGAACTCCACCTGAAACAGACAAACACAGTGCAATAGTGAGGCTTTTATTGTATTAATTTACATATGGAAAGGCAGAAGTACTATGTGCTGGGCTATAGGGCTGCACAACACCAACAAAATACCACATTATGTCTGGACCATGCAACTGTGATATACATATATACTCTATTCCCAAAAGTATGTGGAAAACCCATCTTAATTATTGAGTTCAGGTGTTTCACCACACCCACTGCTAACAGGTGTATAAATCAAGCACATAGCCATGCATTCTCATTAGACATGGTCAGTAAAATGGGCCGTACTAAATAGCTCAGTGACTTTAACCGTGGCAATTTTATAGGACGCCACCTTTACCACAAGCCAGGTTGTGAAATTTCTGCCCTGTTGTTCATCTGTAAGTGCTATTATTGTGAAATGAAAGCATCAAGGAGCAACGACAGCTCAACCATGAAGCGGTAGACCACGCAAACTCAGAGTGGGGCCACCGGGTGCTGAAGCAGAGCAGCAGTTGGACAGATCAGTACAAGTACTGTGCATTGAGAGCTTCATGCACACAAGCCTAATATCACTATGCACAATGCCAAGCATTGGCTGGAGTGGTGTGAAATATGCTGCTACTGGACTGTGGAGAAGTGGAAAAATGTTCTCTAGAGTGATAAATCATTCTTCACTATCTGTCAGTCTGAAGGATAAATTTGGGTTTAGCAGACGCCAGGAGAGTACTGCCTACCAGAATGGATAGTACCAACAGTAAAGTTTGGTGGAGGAGGGATAATTGTCTGGGGCTATTTTTCAGGGTTTGACCCCTTAGTTCCAGCGAAGGCTAATGTTAATACTACAACATACAAAGACATTGCAGACAATTATAAGCTTCCAACTTTGTGCTAACAGTTTGGGGAAGGTCCTTTCCTGTTCCAGGATGACTGTGCCCTTGGGCACAAAGCAAGGCTCATAAAGACATGGTTTGATGAGTTTGGTGTGGAGGAACTCCAGTGACCTGCAGAGAGCCCTGACCGCAACCCCATCGAACACTTCTGGGCTGAATTGGAATATTGATCATATAGGTGTGATGGTAAGTGTCTACATACTTTTGCTGGTATAGTATATATTGTTGAACGCTTGATGTGATATGATTAACAATGATTAACCTGCTGTATTTTGACCAATTCTATTACATTTGCTGGATCATGTCACTGCCTCAAACAAAAATACTCATAGAAACACTCGAGGCTGCTCACAAGAGGCAATGAAATTTGTAGAGATCAACAATAATATCGTAATCCTCTTTGCATTGGCGGTTAACAGCTTGAATCGAAAAGATGTTTAGATTTGTCTAATGTTTGAAAGATATATTTGATAAATGTATGTATTGTACATTGGAAGAGCACAATGTTTAGGTGATGCTGGGCTGGGTTACTGTACTTAAATGACATTATTTTATTTTTTGACTGCATTTGTAGCTTCATACACTGCTATATTTTTCTAATGTCAATCCAGATAGATGTAGTCCTAATTTGTACTTCTTATACATATTTATGTATCAGCAGATACGTGCATGAAAAATAACATAAATGACACTGGCTCACAGAAATAGAAATTTGGTTCATTAGAGGGCTCTTTTGTTGCATATTGTAGTTTACACTTTTCTGAAAAGCTAATCCAGAAACTGGAATTAATTCCCAATTTCTACATTTTATAAATGTGTATGTATCAGCATCAGCAGATATGTGCATGAAAAATATCAGATTGTGGCATCAGCGCACAATTCTCATAGCAGTGTATTCCTATTTTCTAAACATCATCAGATAACATTTAAGTTACCAATAGTAAACATGTTAAAACACATTAATAAAGTTAATGTTTCTATGCTTCCATAATAATGATAACATCTTGTTTTGATTGAACTATTTGTTCTTTATTCTTTTCTTAATCTTACAAATTATTGTAAACACTAACCAGATGGAAAACATTTTACAGAAAAAAAAAAAATCTACTTTTCTAATCTATTTATTTTTTATAGATTGTAAGCTATTTTAGCAGCAACATCTAGTTTATGGTCATTACAATATCAAGGCATAATAGTACAGATGATTTGATGCCCCACCTTAAGCCTACCTGTGTTGTTATATTTGATGACAGCACTTTTTTCTCCATACTTGTATTATTCTACTGACTATTGGTTGCTAATTAACAACACTGTCTGCTTTAGTCTAAGCTGCTGGAACAACTTTTTTGGCAAATAAGTAAAAAAAACATATATTTGAAACAATGTTCCAAACTTCTTTGCTCTACTTTTTTCTTTATTTTGCAAAACTGTTGAATAAAGATAATAGAGGAGGAAAAAAAGCAAAGGGAATTACTTTGATAACACAACACAAATCACGAATTGTGCAGCCCTACTGAGTTAACAATATTACCACAGAAGGAATGTTTTTATATCTATTAAAAGAAAACAGTACAACAAAGTAACACCACAAAAGGCAGATGAGTTGATCAGATTAGTGTCAGACAGTTGTACTTACATCGTCTTCATCCCCATAGTCCTGTCTAGGCTGAGTATACACTGCTGATTTCTGCTTGCTGTAATATAAAACACATAAAAACTGTCATCCATCTAACGTCTGCTCGTTTAAGATGCTAAGAGGAGTTTATGCATTGCAAAATCAGTTATAAGACGAAAGATATATCTTACCTCTCAGGCATTTCTGGATGGAGAGAATGAAAAATACAGAATGAATTTGATCATTATACACATAGAAAACCAAAAAGAGCTAAATCTCAACAAGGAAACACATACAGAAGGAAGAAAAACTTACTGGGCAAATATCCCTTCTTTTTAGCGTACCACAGGCCAAAGCAAAGCAACGCAATGGCTAGAAGGGCTACAATGACCCCAGCAACGATGCCTCCTGTGTTCACATCCTCTACAAAATTAAACAGAGACATAAAACACAGTGAGTACCTACAGATGACTTGAAATAAAAGCAACTAAGGTTAAGACTAAGGCTCATAGTTAAGTGATTTATCATTTTATTTTGCTTCTTCATTCATCCATGAGATTCCTCAACACGTGTTGTCCCGCTCACGCAGGCACTGGGCCCGATCCACACACCGAAAATAAACCATGCGCCAAAAGATGTTGTGGTGGGTCCTGCAGGAGGCCCACAGGAATGCATATCTTCTTCATATTAATCTAGCCCTAAAAGCATTTTAAGAAAATTAAAGACAGGTTGAAAAGTTTACTCACTGACTTCCATTAACACAGTCTCCCCACGCTGATTAGGTCCCTGACTGTTGGAAGCCTCACAGAAATATTTCCCACTGTCTGTCTTGGCCACACTGGGAAACTCCTGTTATACACACACAACATAAATAATAAACAGATGGATTTCCCAAGGGGAAATTTGGGATACAATGACGGTCAGTACATACAACAACTAATTTGGCAGTTCTACAATCCATTAAAAAAATTCTGGTTTCGCTGACTTCTTACTGTTCTAATTCATCATGGTCAAAGCAAAAAAGTAATGCTACATACTTACTTTTATTACTAGTAATACTTTATATTATGTACGTCATTAAAACGGCCTCAGTAGAACCAGCAATCAGCTATATGTCATTTTTGAAAGGTTTTATCCACTTACCAGGTTGCCATTCTGAGCGTTCATTTTGTAGGTCATGTTCTTGAAGGCAGGGAACTTGCTGGGGTCTTCAGGCAGAGGTGTGCCATCTTTGTACCATTGGTAGGTGGATGGGGGAGAGCCGTCCTTGTCGAAGCAGGTCAGCAGAACATTCTTGCCTGTTGTGACTGAGGTAGGGATTCGGCTGACAGGCACTGAGGGAGGTACTGTGGGGTACAGGGATTATTATCATGAGCACAGCATGTACAGGACAGCGTATGTCGCTGGTAACTTTAAAAGAAGAAAAAATGTTTTCTTAACCTGATAGAACATAACAGAAATTAAAGAACAGAGATTTTTCCTGATTTTTTTTGGACTATTTCTGTCGGTCAAATTACTGTGAAATTTTGACACAAAGTAAAGGGTAAGTGGAATTTTTAAATTATGCTAAAAAATGGCTGTCATGGCTGTTGCTCAGAGACAGCAGTCAAACAAAATGGAAACCAGTTCCCACCAGGTGAAATAAAAAAGGCACCCCCCCCCCATTTCTGACAGTAGTATATCAGATTCTGGCTTATGTTTGACATTTCAAAGTTTTGACTTTGTCAAATAATTACACTTATATAAAAAGTAATAACTTGTTACTTACTAAGTGAAAATACTAACAAATCAAGTCAAATTTTCACCCTCACAATAACGAATTGAAAATATGTATACTGCAGCTAGAAACAGATTCAGTGACAGAGAGTGAAAAAATATAGCTACATAAAGCAACAAAGAACAACGTACCAATCACTGTTAGCTTGATTACAACTTCTGCATAGCCATCATTGCCAGACACCTCGCATGTATAGCCTCCAGTGTCTTTTCTGGTTGTCTTTTCGATCCTCAGACCACCTGCATACTGAGTGAACCGTTCTTTGTACGGGGCTTAAAAAAATAAAAAAAAAATAAAAATAAAACACAATCTTGTCATACAATGAAATCTGTTTAGATTGGTATGCCGAGGAGACATTTGATTTTACAGAAAAGAATCAAGACTTGACAGACTAGTCTAACAAGTTAATTAGCATTTACAGCAGATCGATTCATGTAAAGCACACAGTAAACACCGTCGTCCATTCTTCATCTATAATAAACATTTGAGCTTCGTACGTGCATGGTTGAAAAAAAGCAGACTGATTGGCTGGAAAATATTATTCTTACCGGTAATCTGGCCATCAAAGAAGATGAAGGACTGTGAGCCCCTTAAATCCTTAAATTTCCATTCCACTCGAGGTGATGCCCCAAAATCAGCAGTGTAATCACATTTCATATCAGCTCCTGAAAATACATAAAAGTCCAGGTTAGTTCAGCTAAATCTTCCTAATACTGGTTAAATTGGGTGAAATGTTTCCATGCAGTGACTGAAATCTATGAAACTGTTCTTTAGCTTGCAAGTACACCAAAGAGATCAACACTTGAAGCATAGTTTAAGCAGACTAACTATCTAAGTCACATAATTGGAAGTATCAGAAAGAGTAATGCCTTTAAATCTCTCTCTCTCTCTCTCTCTCTCTCTCTCTCTCTCTCTCTCTCTCTCTCTCTCTCTCTCTCTCTCTCTATATATATATATATATATATATATATATATATATATATATATATATATATATATATATATATATATATATATATAAAATGTGTATATAGCACTTACCACTGCCCTCTTTTACCATCACAGTGCCTGTAGAAGTGGAGGCAGAAAAAGCATGTAGGCCTGAAAGAGATAAAGAGAGATAATAAGTGTTCAAATGTTCAATTATTGAGACCAATTTCTTTTTAACCCTCTGAGCAAAACTGCAGAAACTAAAAGCACTCTGAGGTATAAACCAAAACTGATCAAGATCATTTCATTGTACGGTACCAAAGATTTGGATGTGCCAGATTTTAGAATTTATTAAAGTTTCTAGTTATTTATTACCATGTTCTCATAATCTCATAGACATTTAGAAACACTCAAAATAAAGACAAACCCGAAACATTCACACTCAGCGACCCTAAGAAAAGAAAATGTTCGTTGGCAGAAACTACTGCCCACGCTCAGAGCTTTCGTTTCCTTATCACGGCTTCATCACATTTCTTCCTTATTCGTAACATGACCTAGACTAGCATTCTTGACTAGAAGGCCATGTGCCACATACCTGACTCATCAGCTAATTCCCCAAACTTTCAATTCGGCCTATCACAATCATGACATTTTAGCTGGCCATTAAGTGCCATATAAATAATTGTGATTAACAATTTGTTTTTTTGTTAATGGTAACTACTAAAGCACAAAGCTCAAGTGGCCACGTTTGCTGATTAGCTACCTAATAGTGGATACTTACTGGCTCCTACCTGAAGACATACATATCTTAAGCTTAAAACCCGCTACCTACACACCACTGCCCTCTTAACGCATCAGTTCGGACTTTTGCTGTTTTACCAACACCCACAACATGTCTCAATAAATTAGCTTTCTGCTCTTTTTAATTTACATGTATACGCCTCAACTCAATGGCTGCAGACAAGTCCAATTAAATGTCGTTTGTTGTGACTGTGAAAGCTAACAACTGTCAAAAAGGCAGCTTTAAAAATTGCATTGAGCTATAAAGATAACAACTTCTGCTTTCAAATATCGTGTTTAAGCACAACTGTTCTGTTCTTTGGCCCTATGAGGCAGTCAGTGCACAATGTGATCACTCAGCATTAGGACAATGCAATGAACAGATCTAGTGTGATTCCAAAGTAAATATTTCAAAGCAATACTTGTTTATTTAATGAGGTGTATTCAATTGTCAATTATAGCACACACTATGAACACATCATCTTGTAAATTTCTAGCTTTAAAGGTGTGGCCAAATACACTGAAAGGCTAGATTTGCTGAGTAAGCAGTCCGGCAAGGGAACTTCCAAAGGCAACAGGTTCAAAAAAGCTGAGCTACAGTATGTCTGTTTTACACTTACAGCCTCTGACTCACCACTGACCGTATGGTACAAAAACAACTTAAAATACACAAATCGATTTAGCAACACACAATTTAGCAATTTCCAACCGGAAAGAGGCTCTAAACACTCATCGTGGCCTTTTATTACCACTGACGTGGACAAGATCACTACTGATTTTGCAATAATGTGCAGCACCATAAGACACAGACACAGAACACACATGCACAAGAAAGTGGACTTTGACTTTATTTTAGAACTACAAAAGCAGGCTTACAGTTCACCACAGGCTAATCCATTTTGATCTTGTCCTATTGAGGCTTTAATAATCTACAATGCTATAAACTGAAAAATGCTCGTTACGCTAACTTACATGTTCTCAAGCCAGTCCTTATGATCTCACCAGCAAAATCCCTATTTTGGTTGTATTCCAGATCATAACACCTGAAAATTAGCTTCCTACAGCTTTACATTACTCTAGGAATGGTTTAAAGGGGAATTCTGATCTTTTAAATTTCTGCATAATTAACTGGTTGTGAAGTAAACAGATATTCTGGTTTGAAGTGCTCAGAGAAACTTGTGGTGATGATAGGAACCACACATCTGCTGTGTTTAGTGCCTCTAAAAGGTATCTTACAATAAGTTACTACATGAAATGATTACAAGTGTATCAGCAACTGGTACACCTTACAGTAGCTGAACTAACTAATTGGAAAGGGCTGCCTGGATACTTTTAGACAGTAATTCAACCTTGTTCAGCAGAAATGTGTACCTTTGTGCACTTAATATAATTAATAAATATAATAAAAACTCTCTCAATAAGTGTGTTTCAAACAACCTGAATAAATTACTGAAGATTATTTTGGAGAAAGAAAAGTAGCACTAGCATTTTTATATTTTGATCACACAATATCCCCTTGGCTTGACTGTAGTTAGACAGGTCTAAAAAGGAATTAAAATGATGTATTAAAAATGTCTCCATAATAAATCAATAGGATGTAAAGAAAGTCTGGTTTGATGTGTTTGATGTGTAACGCTTCATTGGAAACCTACAGACTCAGAATTCTTCACAATGGTGGTGACAGGAACCAGACATCTAAAGTGTTTAATGCCTCTGAAAGCTCCCTGACAGAAAGTTATTTAAAATGGTTATGAATACGCTGCCTGATGCAATTGACCAAGACACTGTTTCATGATAGTTCTGCGATAATGTATTGGTGTAAAATGTATGAGTAAAATCCATTCATGATGGAGAGGTACATGCAGGGTGTGTAGCAAAACCCAAAGAAAATAAAAGAAAATCAAATGGTTTTCAGATTCATCACTACCAACATTACATATAAAACTCAGAGGTTCACTGGTGATTTTGGTTAATAAATAAAATGGTTATATTTGTGTTATTGCCATTGTGACCCCTGGTTCCTGACACCAGCAATGTAAAGACACCAAAGCCGGTGACTTTCTCTAGAACGGGGCGTCACACATCAAACCACTCTGAATGTCCCTGTTTATATTTCAACACTTAAATTATGTAGAAAATTACTAAAATCTTCAGAATTTTGCTTTAAGAACCTAAACACTAACCTACAAAGTTGGGTAGCAGTTCGCATCTAGCTCAGTTTTAAAGGCATCTGTACTTTTCTGAGTATTTTGACATAACACTTCAAATAATAACAAATTATACCCCTATTTGTGAGGAAAAGATTTCCCATTATCCTCAGTCCCTCTAGTCCCTCACATTTGGTTCCTAATTCTTTTAATCATGGTTAATTTAAGTCTGTTCTGAAGTGTCAGCAACTGCAATGCTTTGATTTACACTTCTCACTTTTGAGCTTTAGCATTTCCCTTTAGGCCAAACAGAGAAGAATACCGCCCAACAAACTTCAGCTGTTACGCTGGATGTACTCAGAGGTTTAAGCACTTCAGTTTTTGACCTGAGAATTTTTTATTCAAGATGTTTCCTGGCAGCTAATTTTATATCTACTCAAATACAGTTAGATTTACTTTAGAGGTGGGCAACAACATCATCCATCGTTATCATAATAAATGGATGTCAGTGTCACAATAAGCTTTTCTGAGTATATTGTGAATATCGTCAGTTGCCCAAAGAACACAGACCAACTGCCTGTTTCAATATAAGGAGCGCACAGTTAGTTCTGTTTAATTGCGTTTAGTCCATCATGATGTGCAAAACTAAAATATACACATAAATAATTATTTGTTGTTGATATTGTATAAAATGCGACACCACTGGCACCTATTCCAACGTATAAGAAGATATTTTGACATATTGTGTATCATGAAAAATTCTTGAAGTATTGTGATAATATATAACAGCAATAATAATAATAATTTCACCCACCACTAGTTTACTACAAAACTACCCACCTCTCTCTCTCTCTCTCTGTCTTTTTAGTTTTGCTTTACCTTTATCTTAAGTGTGTATTCAGTGAGCCATTTCCTTGTTTGTGTGTGTGTGTGTGTGTGTGTGTGTGTTGAGTTTCGGGGGGAGGGGTGGTGGAGATAAGGGTTCCAAGGTGATACTGTTGCTTGAAAAACTGAAGACTAAAGGCCTACAATAAAAAAAAACCCTTCAAATGAAATCAGCGTCGAGGTTTTACTCGACTAAGCCTAATAATAAGCATCATACAACCTACACTGGGTATTTACAGGCTCATCTCATACAGGCTGCTGGCTAAATAGCAGGTGTGCTAAACAGGTGCGTCACACACACACAGGCGAAAAGATGAGTTTCACGAAGCAAACAACGTCAACTGACGAGGGGAAAGATAAGTAAGATAATTAATAGATTAAAACAACACAAAAAAACCTCCTAAATGTGCCAGAAGTCGACAATTTTACCGGCCCTTTAGCGGCCTGTCATCTGTTTGTCGAGACTGTAACAGAACACAGCTCACTGGCTTCGTGTGTAGCAGCCAAAGCAAACAGCAGCTCAACTTCTGCCTCGGCTTAAGATACAAATGGTCTAATTTTGTTCAGGTATTCGACAGCACATGATGACATAAGTTAAAAAAATAAAGAATAAATAAATCATATACATAAACAAACAAATAAATAAATCGAAGTGTGACTTTTAGAAAGGAAACACCGGCCGGAGGTCTTACCTGTTGCGTGCAGGCAGAGACACATCAAGACAAAGAACATGATGGCTGAATGTGAAATGTCCTGCTTGTAGGAGAACAGCCAGGAAATATTTAAATATAAAATATCGACAACTTAAGTAGGAATCCGGTCCGTTTTCGTTATCTAAGCGCCAACAACAGCCAAAAGTGACGCTGAAGAGAAACTGCTGAAACTGGACGCCCTTCCTGGTCTAACTTGTTACCTGAGTTCAGCTTGGCCCCGCCCAGTGTGTGACGTGGTGAAAGTAGACTGCAGGGGTTACGCTTGTATTCCTCCTCGTCTTTTGGTCAGGAAAGAAGGAGAGGCTGATGTTTATCTCATAGGCGTGTCGAGCCCCTTTAAACTGAGTCCCAGCCCCCTGAAAATAGGAGGAAAAATCGTTTTTTTAAACAGAAGTTTGTCTCTAATGAGCAAATTATATGATCTACTTTCTCTCTCCTACTCTTCCCCCGCCCCGCTCTCCCCGAGGCCGTGCAGTATACATACACACACACACACACACAGTTACAGTGTGACTGTGTGGTGCTGTGGCTCCAGTAAGTAGCGCAGACGAGGATGATCACTCTGCACCAACACATACAATCACTAGCAGCAGTCCTAATTTTTGCTGCACTGAATCACAGATCACCATTCATGTTGTTATTGTTGGCCATCTGATGTTTTTTCTATCTAGCAAGCTGATGTTGCAGGCTGTCAATCAACGACCGTCCACTGTTTGAATTCGAGTGAGAGAAGCTGCTGTGCCATTGGTAGGCCTATGTATTGATATTAAAGCCAAGGTGCTAGACTGGGGGTTGGGGGGGGTCTTATTGGGTACTCAGCACCCCTAAAGCTCTGATCCTAGAATCGCCCCTGTTTTACCTAAAGGAGAAGTCAACTAATTTTTAAAAATTACTGAATAATTCAGTCCTTGCGATGTAAACGGAGTCGTTCAGAGTGGTCTGATGTGAAGAGGTTCCTTGTAGAGAAACTTGCATTCTCAGATTTCTGTACAGTGGTGCTGATAGAAACCAGGGGTCACAACGTCTACAGCACAAATATAGCCATTTTATTTATCATCCATAACCACCAGTGAACCTACTTGTGCCTTTTGTTTTAATATGTAACATTAATGATGATGAAAATCTTGAAACAATGTGGGATTCCCCTTCAGTTTGTATGTGTGATAAATCTCTCAGTGCAGCTGGTTTCACAGCTTTTATCAGCTACAAGGTTTTATACAATTTATTTTGCTGTAATAATATGTTGTATGTTGTCCCAGTTTACTGAAGTCATCACCTCTACTTTTCTGGGAAGGCTTTACTCTAGATGTTGGAACACTGCTGTGAGGATTTGATTGCATCCAGCCTTACGAGCATTAGTGAGGCCAGGTACTGATGTTGGATAGTTAGTTCTGGATCACTCCAACTCATCCCAAAGGTATTGGATGACGCTCTATCACACCAGAGAACACAGTTCCACTGCTTCACAGACTAAGTCATTGCTTGGCATTGAGCATGGTGACTTTAGGCTCATGTGTGGCTGCTCTACACATGTAAAGATGTGCTAATCAAATTAACCATTGCTCCACCTGTTTTGCCCGCTTTGTACTATAATACTTCATACTAACAATGTTTGCTATCCGGTGTCGACCAGGGGAGGATGGGTTCCCCTTCTGAGTCTTGCTTCCTCTCAAGGTTTCTTCCTCCTGCTCTTATGGAGTTTTTCCTTGCCACTGTCGCCACTGGCTTGCTCATGGGGGCTTGGACCCGGATTTTTCTTTTTCTGTAATGCTGATTTTTCTGTAAAGCTGCTTTGTGACAACACCTGTTGTAAAAAGCACCATATAAATAAATTTTGCTTGCTTGCTCCAAAATGCTTTTCTATAGAGATTAGACAACTGTATGTATACCTGTGTCAGCAATGGGTGCACTTTCAAGTAGCTCAATTAACTAACAAGAAAAGGTTGCCTAAATACTTTTGGACATCTTTTCCAGCAGGAAATGTGTATTTTTGTGTGCTTAATGTAAGAACGACATAACACCCAACACCCTAATTTCTTTAGATTTAATAAAAACAATAAGTGTGTTACAAACAATGTGGATAAATTATTTGGGAGAAAGAAAAGTAGTACAAACATTTTTACATTATTAATTACACAATATCCCCTGACTTCATTGTTGGTACGTAGACTTAAAGGGGCATTCCATCAATATTTTCAAAATGTCTGCATAACTCAGTCTTTAGAATGTAAAGGAAGTCATTCAGATTGGTTTGGTGTGAAAAGCTCCATTCTAGAGAAACTTAAACTCAGAACTGTTCACAGTGGTGGGGATAGGAATCAGATGTCTGCAGAGTTTTATGCCTCTAAAAGGTACCTCAGAAAGTTATCATTAAAAATGGTTATAAATACACTGCCCAATGCCTGAGACATTGTTTTATGTTGTGTGGTCACCACCACTATAAAAAAAAAATTCCAAACTGAAAACTTTGTTTCCATGTTTCTACATAATTCAATTGTTTATGACTGAATTATGTAGAAATTTTTAATCATTTGTGGAATTCCCACAACTTACATCATTTAAAACAATATCTTAAAACATAGTACCATGTGGCCAGAAATAATGAAATATTTGCTAAGCAAAAACAGCTAACCTAAACCTACATTTAGAGCAATATATATATATATATATATATATATATATATATATATATTTGCTACCTTCTTGAATTTGGTAAAGTTTTTAGGTAATGCATATGAATGTGAAACATGTAATATATAGTTCTAAATGCAGTCTAATAAAATAAATCATGGAAACTTGACCCCGTTGTCCAGTTCAAAATGTCATCTTTTTACAAATATTCATTGATTTCTGAATCAATAACAAATCTTTGTAAACTGAATTATTCTGTTTATTTACAGAACTTATTCAACAGATTGTCAGTCTCCAGTTGCGTCCCTTCCCTCAGACCATTTTCACAGCACAAATGCCATCACTTTCTATTTGCCTAAAAACAAAAAAAACTTCACATTCTATTTCCATTTGCAATATTTAACAGGCTCCAAACTATAAATCTATTCTTCAGTGATTCACAAAAGAGAAATATTCTTCAGACACTTGATAGTTCTTGCTACAGAAAAACATATATAAAAGTATTTCAGTGCAGTTCAGATACACCTGACATTAATTTTGGGGTCATTTCAAATGGCATGATTTCTTAGTAAAGCTGCACTATGTATGATTTGGGGATTTGGAGACATCACTGGTGGAAATGTGGAAATGCATGCAACAAAGACTTGTAACATTGGCTGATCTGATGATTGCGAGCGTGTTGAGAGAGTACCAAAAGAGAGCTCAAAACTTGGTGAAGGACATGTCTTCCAAGGATGTAAGTTAATTATTTACTATTGTCATTATTTGCATTTGAGACCTAAACATCGAGCCAGACTTTCTTTTTAAATATGATGTTATTACATTATTAAGACGTATGACACGGTTCGAAAAACTCTCATAAAAGCCGACCAGACACCTCTAACATTTGAATTATTCCAGGCTTTAAAGGGTGACTTACAGCAGCGCACACACTTGTTTTTCTTTCTCCTGACTCAGTAATGTTACTCCTTTCAATTTTAACAAAAAGACTCTTACAAAATCTTACACAGGGCTGCTTTAAGCTCAATGTGAACACTCTCCAGTAGGAATGTTCTTTCGCTTTTCTCCTGTTGGACAGTCTGACTTTTGGGCTTAAAAGAAAAAGGCAGCATAATTCAACCTGAACTCTTTGCATCATATCTGCAGTACACAGTTGATTACAAGAGACAATAATTTCCCTAGATTTAGAAAAGAACTGAAAAATTGTACTAAATGAAAATCTCTTATATATACACAGTATCTCTTATATATCATATATATAAGCCAATAGGCAGGTGCTTCAGTGAGTTTCGAGGTCAACAGGTTTCTGTTTCTGTTCTAAGTACAAGGAAAGGTGTCAGAATTATTGTCTGTGGAATTGATTGTATGCTACAGGCGTGGCAGGCAGAGATTAGGCTAAAAAAGCCGGAGTACTCCTTTAAGGTGTCTAACTGAGAAATCATACCCCTAAAATGTACCCCTAATCACCTGTGGTTGAGAATGAAGTCTTTCACTGAGAGAAGAAGCAGCGTTTACAGGCTTATCTGGGTTCATTTCTCTCTAAACAATTCCCAACCTTGTCCTACATTATGAGCTGAAAGGCAAATAAGTGAAGCCTCAAAGGGCTTCACTGAGGGTCCATGCTCGAGGCCGCTACGATACCATGCTGCCGTAGCTGAGTTCTGAGCATCTGGTTCTTAGATTTCCACTCTTCCAGCTGTGTAAAAGATCAAAAAACATAACATAAACAGAGGACGGGGTTAAAGAACAAGCACAGTTCTCAAAATTTGAATTAGGGGTGGGCAATTTAGCAAAACTGTAATATTGCAATACTGAGGACATCTTCATGATATATAATACATATCAAAATGTTTCATTTTTCAAACAGTAATGCAAAACAATTTTAATGAAAGCTGAAAAACTGGACAAACTGATTAAGTAATAAACAACAGGATGAAAACAATGAAATACTGGTGATGAATTAAATAGATAAGAAAATGTTAGGTTAAATGACAGTGGAAAAATGGTTGTAGTTTTTCTTCTTTTTAAAAAAGATGCAACTGGCCAGCATTCTGTAAACTCTGCTGATACCAATAATGTGCTCAGGAAACATCATGTTATTCTAAATTAGATATTCTCAGAGCTCTACCTCTCGTCTAAGCAGCTGGTTGTCCATCCTCAGCCTCTCCAGCGTTTCCAGCTCCTCTCCTAATCTAGCATTGCTTTGGCGCAGCTCCTGAATGTAGTCACAGGCCTTCGACAAGATGCCCCCTTTACTCTAAGAGAAACAGATAGAGAAACCCAGAAAACTGAAACAATGGAACAGACCTCACCAATAACACAAAAGACAGCTTTAACTCACAGCTAATGCACTGAACAGAGGCTGACTCTAAGCAACCTCTCTCTAGTGAAGCGTGTGGACACAAGCCATACCTGTCCGTTTTTGGTTGCGTCCATGGAGCAGTCAGGGATGGTTTTGGACAGCTGGACAATCCAGTTGTTGATTTTGTCCCTGCGTCTGCGTTCGACTAAAAAGAATGAATTTTGGTTTACATTAAATTCATTTTGTACAAACTTTGGTTCCTAATCTACAAGCATTTTCTGAATTTTAATATGCAAAGTTATTGCTAAAATAATGGAAAATTGAAGGAAAAAAAAAACATTACTAGTACTATACTACTATGTCGCTCTACTATGGCCTGTATGAATCACTCCACCACTAATGCATACTAACAATTAAAAAAAGGGCCAAAAACGTATCTTAAAACTATTGTAAATCAATGTTTAAGCCAGGAGGCAGCATATTTTTAACAATTTCATATAAAAATTTACTGCAATGTGGCATTTAGAGGCATTAACCTCTTTAGACGCCTCTTTCTATCACCTCACATAGTTTCTCATATCAAACCACACTGAATGACTCTGTTTATATCTTAAATTCATAATGCAAAAATCTGGAATATTTGGTGATATTACCCTTCAGTTTAACTAAAAAAGATATAGCTTTAAAGTTTTTATACAGTAAACAAGCTGCCTTTATGTACCCTTGGCTTTCTGATGAAATACACCTGGAGCCAAGCACCACCACAACCGTTTTTATCTGAATATCTCAACTGCAGCAGTTGAGCGCTGTCTTACCTTCATTGTGCTGTGCTCTTCTCTTGTCATCTCTCGAAGTACGTGGGGTTTCTTTCTTACTGTGGATATAAAAAAATAGCTGAATCAAAAGACTGTAAAAAAACAGAATACATCACTGCTGTCGGAAGAAAACTTTCCATTCTATTTGAGTTGTTTTTCGGTTTTTGACAATCTGAAAATGCCTGTTGTCCTTTACATTGTGTGTAAAGAAATGGCCCAAAATTACTTGGAAAAAAAAGTCAGGTTCAACTGACCTACATTAAAAGTAAAGTAGGTTTTTTCCTTCTCCTGTAAAGTTATCATTTTGGAGATACAAGGTTTTCTTCCGACGACAGTGATATATACTCTTTCACATGTGAGTTTAGATATTCACCTCTGCTGGGCTGTGCCTAATACATCTTGGGATGACATCATCACGTAGAGTTGACCTGAAAATATTAATCAAAACATCAAGACATTTGCATACTTTTCCAAAGTTGGCGGTACATCCTGGTGTTGTCAGTATTTCCTCATAACCACCTATTTCATAAAAAAGAGACTTAAAATAATTACAGAGAGCAAAACCACTTGCACTGTGCAAAACCGGTGGTGTCAAATGAAACTGCATAGCAACAAGAACCTGAATGCTGCATTATCTACATTATCTATCCGTCCTGTACAAACTGTTCGATTTATCTTTTATTTTTGAGAATAAATAGCCCAACTAACCCAGTGGAGTTAAAGTAACTGAACTGATAGAAAAGGGGAACTACTGTTTTACTGATGCAACTGTTATATAACTAATTAGTATTTGCTCAGACGGCAGGGCTAATTAGATTTATTTCTCATATCTGACTTTTTTTAAAACCGGCTCTTCAGATTTCAAGATCCAAGTTACCAAATCTGATTGGTATGATCAGACTGTATTTTCCACACTTCACTGTGTTTAGGTCAGTGCTGCGTTATTTTCCTTGACCACATAGCACTGCAGATTCAACGATTTCCTGACCCAACACACTCGATTCAGCTCATGAAGGGCTTGATAATCAATTGATTAGCTGGATCGGCGTTTTAACGTAAAGAATAGTTGAAACAGTGTGGAGCTGTGGGTCTCCAGAAGCAAGGATAACAAACCTTGATTTAAACAGCTGCAAAGCTCGCCTAGTTAGCTCTTCAGGGGACACAGCTTTGCTAGATAGCGCTAGCAAAACAAAGCTGCAAACAGCTAAGTTTACCTGATATACTTCAATTTCCAATTTTACACAGGGTGATGTAGGACCCTGAGTGTGTGTTACATTAACTAATACAACAAACATTGCTCATAAGATCAGACGTCAGCACAATCCTCTCTGGCAGTAACATTACTACTATCAGTACAATGTTCGAGGCAGATCACGGCTCAATGAGTAGGCGTGGCTATGTGGTTAGAAGACCTGTCACTCTAAATAAGTTGACCAATACAGAGTGCAGGTGAACGTCCTCTTCTAAGACCTGACTCCTGGTTAAAAAGTGCCAAACGTCAGAAGCAAAAGGTGATTCCAGAAGATAATAATATACCAGCAAAATGGGAAAATAAAGGAAATACTGGCAAAATGAGTGAAAATGAGCAGTAATTTTTTGAAAAGTTAAGTTTGATTTAACTCTCATTATTTGTATTTGCAAAATATTGTGGACATTTTAATACTTCGCTTGTGGATTTTATTATTTTATTTGAAACTTCCGGCACAAAATTAACTCCATAGACTGCTAACTGGATTGTTTCACACATTTCTTCATCAGTGCACTGCTCGCATGTATGTAGCTAATGATGAAAGTGCAGGCACAGAGAGAGCAGGCAGAAAGAGACCCAATGAGCCAATGAGGAAAAGTAGTACTACTTTCAACCACAATGGCTGATGCAGTACCTGTGCCAGAGGGGCACCTAAACAGCCTAATGATCATCATACACTTTAAATTTTTAAGTGGTGCAATCTGGAAAAAAATTGACTTGACTTGAGCTGCCTGTCTGACCAAGGTCTTAGGTAACCTCATAAAAACTGAATTTTGTGATATCAAGAACATCATGAATAGATACAAATCACTCATCTGATACAGGTTGCATTTCTTTATTTTGAAGACAGAAGGACATAATCAGCGCATCTGTGCCACTAGCAGCCTGGTATGTATGAGCAAAGTCATGAGCTGACGTAAATCTGATAAACATGTCCGCTGGCAACGTCACAGTGCAGCTTATATCTAAACCAACCACAAATGCCCTTAAGCAAATTAGAGGCTACCTCATGACTTTGGCATGCAAACAGTGCTCTCACCTGCTGGAGTGGGCTGAGTGAGCAGCGAATCAGCTGCATGGACACTGGTTACCATGGTAGCAGGGGTGGTGTCGGCGGCAATGGTGGCCGGATAGTAGTAGTGAGTCTCGGTAGCCTCTCCTTCTAGTCCCTCAGCCTGAGAGAATACAGCCTGTGGACACATCGAATCTGCCATCTCTTAGTTACCTCACAGGGATAGTCATGAGCCTTACACAAGGCTTAAAGTGGCAGTTGGGCAAAAAATCAAACTTACTTTCCCCTTTGCTGCATATGTAGTTGATCAGCCAAGGCATATTTGGTGTTTGAAGTTTGCTTCCTTAGTTTTACACTGTTATAAGGCTAATGTACTGCACAGTTAATAGTCACCAGATTAGCATGGTACAGCCAAGGCTGAATTAGGTTAATTTTTACAGATAAAAGCATGTCACACAGTGCCCACAGTCTGTTTCAGATTACTTACCGACTTGTGGCGGTTTGAGGCAAGTGTGTGATGATTTAGTCATGCAGTTTAAACAATGCATACTAGTGGGGTGTTGCAGTAGTTGTTAGTTTGATTAATCTTGTAATTCCAATGCAACTAAAGAAGCGAACTTCGAACACCAACCTGTCTTGAGTGATCAGCTACATTTGCGGTGGAGGATAATTGTGTGAATTTACATTTTTGATAAACTATTGATTTAAGCAATAAGGTTTTACAGGAGATCTAAGCCTTAACGAGCAGAATAATACTGCGGTTCTAAGCTGGATCAGATGCATTAGTGTTAGGCAAGGGGGAGAGTGGCAAGTTGCTAGTTGGAAGCATTATGCCAGCAGACAGATGATGGCAAAGAGGACATTCCATGTGTTGAATAGATTAGCAATGGCAGAGTACCGCTGTGAAACTGGACACATCTGTATAAATATTAACGTGTTCAAAATGCCTTTTAGGACTCTGCACATAGATAGGAACGCCACTGTTATTCGAGTAATGCAATCATCATGGCAACGTTTACATTCCTGTATGCCACTGTTGCTTGCATATAGTAACCTGGTACAAGAGCAATTAGCTAGTAATAACAAATTCAGATACCTGTGTTATATTTGGTGTCGCAGCTTGGGTGGCCGTGGGGAAGCCAGCAACCACACTAACAGCTGCAGCTCCATCTGACTGGGCCTCCACCTGTCCATCAGCCACGTGGATCACCCGGTATGTCACCTACGGCACAGGGGTCAACAGGCCTACATAATAGCCTAATCACAATTATTTGAGATGATCGCAGTTAACTGAGGTGATCGCAGCAGACTGCAATAATTTTCCAAAGACATCAGGTTCACTCACATACACAATTCTGTGTAACTGTAGATAATTGTGCGAGCGTGTGTGGTGCATCATTTCGACAGTACAACTAGTAAATGAACATAGCTAAGTGGCAAGATCGCTAATCAGCTGAATATCCTTCACCACATTTGCAAGAAAGGTAAAGAAACTACGAGTAGATTTTAAGCTGTCAACCTTACAATCATAGTGGCTTTTGACCTAAAAGTTTAGAACACAACGACAAAATGTTCTACAGTAACCACCAAGAAACCCAAATGTGGTTTGTGGTACCATGTTCTCCCACCATTAAAGCTGTTCTAGAATGTTCTCCCGCATACAGTCTGTTCTAAAAAGTTGCCCCACCATTCATGCTGCTCTAGAATGACCACCACTCACACTGATCTAGAAGAGGGGTCAGTAATCTTATTCACAAAGAGACTGCCTGGCTGCAGGTTTTCATTTCAGTCAAGAAGGAGCACACCTGATTTCACTTGCTTAATCAGGTGCCTTTTTTTACATTTTCAATCAAGAGATGCATTTTGTACACTGTTTTTCATCCTGGGCACCTCATGTTTTACACGCCTTGTGCAACTGTGTTTTGTGCAGCGCGCTCTGGTTGCCCTGAATTGCGATAAAAAAGCTCAACTGGGAGAGGTCAAGTGGCCTACAGCTTTTTCTGTGCTGGCCAATTGTTTTAAAAAAAGGCAAGCCTTCAGTAACAGCTGCAGTCACTGAACATTCAGAACTATATGATTTCACAAATTAGCACAACATAAAACAAAAGCTTTAAGCTTAGCTTGTTTTTACTAGCAGCACTACACTTAGTTAATGGTTGATCACTTTCCAAAAGTGCATGACATACACTCAGAGCAAAAAGGGTTCTAGACAGTACCAAACGAAGTTCTGTGACCAGCCAACTTTTTTTTTTCCCCCCAGTTGAGACACATCACCCAATTACACGATGCCACCAGCGCTAGGAGGGTGAAGGATAGCACAGGCTTCCTCTGAGTCCTGTGAAGCGCCACCACATCTTTTCAAACTGCTGATAATGCAACCTCTCTGCGCTAACTACCAGTTCTGTTACATCAGCTAGCAGGCGCCATCACACTAGGTGATGGGAGAGACAGGAGGGCACCCTTTCCAGCAAGAAAGACCGAGGCCAGTTATGCTCTCTAGGACTCCCGGCCATGGATAGCTGTAGCATCATCAGGGATTGAACTTGACAAGGCGTTTTTAATTAGTTAATCAGTTGAATCAGGTTTGCATAATGAGAGACAATGTGAACCCTCACCCTCTTATTCTGGAACAGCACAAAGTCAACTACCAACATTAAGCATAAACATAACATAAATAAGTCAATACACTAACAAACAGCACATAAAATAAGAAATAATACACAAACGTTTACATAAAGCAAACAAAACTGCAGAAACACATTGATCGTACCTGCCCTGCCGTTCCCTCCGTTTTGAAAAGGTACTTGATTGGCTGATCAGCTGAAAATGTGGCAGCTGACTGGATCGTTGCGATAGCAGATGGGTCGCTAGCTGAGACGACAGTGCCTTTCACAGAAAACCACACAGAGGTTACAATCTGCCAAACCAGTCAGACAAGTCTGACAAACCTACAAAGCCTGTGAAGGAAGTTCACACAGCAGATCATTTTCTACACAAGTTCATGTTTGGCAAACTGCTCAGGCAAAAGTGTTTAGGCTAAGATAAATCTAAACAGAATTATTAATAAATATTTATTATTGTAAATCTCATTATTATTATTTAGTACTACAGGTATTATGCAGTTATACATTAAGTACATAAAGGACAGTTTCCATTTGTCACCCCACAAATGGAAACTGTCCTTTATGTACTTAATGTATAACTGCAAAAGTCTTTACAGTCAAAAATCTTTGAAAACGTAAACATTAGTAATAGTGTCATCTTTTACATTAGAGGTCATGGTTGCTGTTGTAGTTTGCTCAGCAATTTGTAGCCCCAAGCTGAAGCAGTGTCTTGAACTCTACCACCCCCACACACACACCTGCTGGAAAGCTTCGGTGGAAGTTGGAACAGAGAAACTGTAATGAGTAGAACTGACACTCATTGATGCCTGCCAGCTATGTCATATGCCAGAGAGCGCTCCTGAGCTCCTGAATAGGTTGTGCAATATCATAGTTTGTAAGTGATTAATCATTTTTTTAATGAAAAATGCCAAAAGTGCTGTTTTTGAGCACTTCTGAACTCAAGTCATAGTTCTTTCTAACAGTGTGTCACGTATCTTTATGACGTCAGTGAGCGCTAACCGCTTTTGCAGTAGCAGTAATGTAAGCATCCTACTGTTTTCTGTAGAAAAATGGAAACATACTGGTAAGTTTTACTTGTTTCTTTTAGTAGAATACATCCTTCTACTTTCCAAAAAAAAAAAAAAGTTTTCCACATAAATGGCTACAATTTAATTTTTCATTTTAGGCATTTTGCTCCATGAGACTTGCTCATGGGTGCCCTCTAGCGTTTTGCAGTCGTACTTATATACTATGGATATAATAGGAAAAACAGGAAAAGGCCAGGCTCTCCTTTTTTTTAATAAAAAAAGGTGTGGGGTGTTACAGAGTTCCTGTGTATTAAAAATAAAGTCATAACTGGTCTTTCGGAAAATAAACGGGTGCACTGAACACTTGCACATACAAAACGGAAAGCAAAAAGCACTAAACACTAAACTCTGCTTTTCAATTTCATGGCCGTTACTGACAATAACTGATAAATCAACAAGTGGTCCCAACCCCATTAAACTTGACATAATTTCAGAGATCTTGGTGAGCCATAAACTGCAATGTATTGATGGATCTTCCTCTCACTTTTCTGGGGTGCGTCCGAGAAACATTTTAGTGTACTATCCGGCTGCCTAACAATGACAGGTTTTTTCTTCCTCTAAAATGACATACCTTCCTCAATGAGAGGCACATCCACTTCTGGATCTGGACTTTTCTGCTGCCTGTGAGACAAATGGTTGAACAAAAATGTTATCTACTTCATTGAAAGCTTAAATAAGCAGCAATATTGCCTAAGGGTGCGATTATAAAGCTACTAAGTTGCTAAAAGATAAAAACTGGGGCTAATATATGCAGCGCAGGTAAGACCGCCTTAAACCAATCCCAGCTAGACTGGCTAACAGAAAACGCCATACACAACAGAACGTCCAAGCCAAATGAAAGATGCTTTGAAAGTATGGCCATGCAGAATAACTGAGTATCACAACATAAATTATAGAAAAAGAAATTAATGAGCAATCTAGGGATTGCAAGGATGAGTGTGAATGTACGTATGTGTTGTGCCTGTTTAATGCATTTTGCGTAGAGGCTACATCGCGATCCAGTCAATTCCGAGCCAAGTGAAAAATGAGTCAAATATGAGACTTAGGCCTGAAGTGCAGCTTCAGAGGAAACATCCAGTGTCTCCTTTCCTTCACTGGTGTTACGTGTGGCCAACGGTGGTGAACATTTCCAACTGTATGAACTTCAAGATCTGCAAGTTCCTCGCTAAATTTGTCTTAAGTATGAAAATAACACCCAAGGATTTCAAAAATCCCATTCATATTGGATTCTTGCAAGCTGAGGTGGTACTAATATTTTATCAGTTTTATTACATACTGTTTTACTATAAGGTTTACTGATTATATCATGAACATAAACAGTACTTATACAACAATAATTAGATGAATGTTTCATGTTAACTAGTCTCAAGGGTTTAGGACTGTGCACTAAATGTGAAATCATCAGGTTTTTGATAGTTGTTTTCAACTGTGGCACTACTAGTGCTACTACTGGCAAAAAACAAAATACTATGATGCATATTGTGAAGATGCGATGTTATATTTTTGCCATATTTCCCACCCCAACCTGCAAGCCTTGTGAAGATGACCCTGATGCAAAACTGACTGGAGCCCAATGTAGACTCGGAGCAAAAGAGAAGTGACTCATGCAGCTGGATCTGATCATTCCACAGAGCACCTCTGCATCTGTGGATCAGTGCCGGCACTTGGTGCAACTCACCCCTTCATGGTGTCAAGTCAATCTTAAGGTCCTTCCCAAACTCCCAAGGGTTTTTAAATCACTCTTTCAGTTTACCAACAGTTGCCTAATGGTAAAGCACACTGTCATAATGGGTCCAACAACATGTCAAAGGGAAAATGTAAAGGCTACAGTCAGTCAGCAGCCTAGCAGTAAACCAGTCTGTAATTAAGTAGCTTCTCTATCCCGGACAGGCTGAATTAAGCAGTCAGTAAAGCTTCACATCACGTTTTCCAGCTTCAGTCAAGTAGTCCACCTGCACTGCACGGCGTAGTTTGCCTGCACCTGAATCACATCTTTGGCCAAACACCAAACGCTTCTTGAGATGAATGAAGGGTGTACAGCACGAATCTGTGGGTGGACTACAGGACTTGGAAACAGTAGCTACAGTAGTGTTTGTGAGCTGAACCAGCCTTCTGATCCCCCTGTAATCTGTACTCCACACAACTTGCCTGGAAGGTGCTATTTCATTTTACGACACATCATACACTGACTGAAATAATGTCATTGTATCCAGACAACCCGGCAAAAGTTAACAAAGCTCGGAATAACAAACAGCAGTCTTCGATAGCTTTAGCTAGCTTGCTGGCTAGCATTTCGCCAGTGCTAGCTTAGCAAGCTAACGCCTAAACAAACGCAAAGCAAAAGCAAAAACACCTACAGCAAAAGGCCTGGGTTTATCTAAACGGCTGAGGAGCTGTCGGATATCCTTATAATCCATGCGCTTTGCCAAATGGAGATTTTGTTAATTATTTACTATGGAAATTTACCATAAACTCTTCCCAAGCAGGCATTCCGAAGATGGAGGTTTTGCGCATGCGCTTTCTTACAAAATACAAACATTAACCCTAACAGTACGAACCGCTAGAGGGCGCGCACAGTCCAGCGTTTCGGTCCAAATTCGTTTCCAACCATTTAAACAGGTCCTTCCTTTAATTTTGGAAAGTAGAAGGATGTATTTTACAAAAATACAAATTAATAAATATAAAAAATAAATAAGTATAAAAAAATTAATAAAAATAAATGAATAAAACATCTGTATCTTTTCGTTTTTCAGAAAACAGGTTTTAGTACCGCTGGACGCTAGTGTGAGTGCTGATTGGTTGGCACTAACGCTACCGAGTGCTGATTGGTTGTTATTACTGGTAGCGAGTGCCGATTGGTTGGCATTACTGCTACTGAGTGCTGATTGGCTGGTGAGTTGATCAGCTCATTGGCTGAGAGAACCTGGTTTGATGTGAAATGGTCTATTCTAGATAAACTCAAGTCAGATTTTTTTTACAGTGGTGGTGATAGAAACCAGATGCCTAAAGAGTTTAATGCCTCTTAGAGCGCCTTCACAGAAAGTCATTACAACAAATAGTTATGAACATGCTGCATGATGCTTGAGACGTTGAGTGTTTTATGATTGTTTTGAAAAAGTTAAAACTTATTTTTTTTACATTCACCCATAAATTTACAGCACATACAGGGTGTTGTAAGGCAAAACAGTCTCTAACGAAGGCTTATTTGTTTTATCAGTTATCACTAGTTTATCTCTATCTACATTACATATAATAGGTCAGGTGACACGTGTATGTTCACTGGTCATTTTAGATAGTAAATAAATGGCTAACTATACTCACCTTGTGAAAAAAGCTGTATATATATATATATATATATATATATATATATTTTATTTATTTATTTATTTTTTTTACTTTGTGCTTATCTTTTTACTTACTGAATATACACCGATCAGGCATAACATTATGACCTCCTCCTTATTTCTACGCTCATTGTCCATTTTATCAGCTGCACTTACTATATAGGTGCACTTTGTAGTTCTACAATTACAGACTGTAGTCCATCTGTTTCTCTGCATACTTTGTTAGCCCCCTTTTACCCTGTTCTTCAGTGGTCAGGACCCCCATGGACCCTCACAGAGCAGGTACTATTTGGGTGGTGGATCATTCTCAGCACTGCAGTAACACTGACGTGGTGGTAGTGTGTTAGTATGTGTTGTGCTGGTACGAGTAGATCAGACACAGCAGTGCTGCTGGAGTTTTTAAACACTGTGTCCACTCACTGTCCACTCTATTAGACACTCCTACCTTGTCAGTCGACCTTGTAGATGTAAAGTCAGAGACGATAGCTCATCTGCTGCTGCACAGTTTCTGTTGGTCATCCTCTAGTCCTTCATCAGTGGTCACAGGACGCTGCCCACAGGATGCTGTTGGCTGGATATTTTTGGTTGGTGGACTATTTTCAGTCCAGCAGTGACACTGAGGTGTTTAAAAACTCCAGCAGCACTGCTGTGTCTGATCCACTCGTACAAGCACAACACACACTAACACACCACCACCACATCAGTGTTTCTGCAGTGCTGAGAATGATCCACCTCAGCATTTATTTGCCAAAGCTATTGTCATGTTTCTTCCTACCTCACATTAACTTGCAGAGGTAGACAAACTTAGTGTGGCTGGAGGCTAAATGCGTTGAGGCGAGCCTTTACCTTTAGCTCGGTTTGTCGGCTAATTAAAAAAAAAGGCTAGACCAAGACTGACATTCAGAGTTCAGGTAACGTGTCACAACAAGTTATCTCTCTAAACTGGCCTCACTAACTAAACTTAACCTTAAGGCTACCGTGTTGTGACGAGTCTAGGTGACAGGTTTGGTACAGTTTTTCTCGCCTCTTTCTCAGTTATTATCCATGGCTTCCACCCTCATCAAAGGGAAGGAACCAGACACCAAGGAGGCTGCACCCCACCTGTGCCCAGCGTCATGTAGAGCCACCACCTTGGGCAAGGACCCTCACCTGCTGTGCATCATTTACATGGGCTCTAAACATGCTTTTGCTGATCAGCAAGTGTGCACCCACTGTGTTTTGTTGCCACAGATAATTCGAGAGAGGAGGTTGAGAGTAGCTGTAGTGAACTAACAGGAATCTGGGATTCAAAATCAATTGGAAAAAGAGTCGTTGAAAGCCCTCACAGTGCCTAGAGCACTTGGGTCTCAGCATAAACTCCCTTTCCTATCGAGCCAGCCTGTCGGAGGGGAGAACAGCGTCATTTGCTTCACTTCAGGGAACACGTTTGTACCGTTCTACGGGTTAGATGTAGCAGGCCCATCCCTGGTGCATACAGTGCTAAGGAAGGATGTGTAATGCAGTTTAATGCAGCGCTAACCCAGACATCATGGCCCTCTGGGCCTGGCCAGTGAGAGTTGAAATCTAAATGCGGCAGGTCTGCCCCCTGCTGTCACTGATACAATACAAAGCACCAGGGCCTCTTCCACTCGTACACTATATGGCAGTAAATGGCGAGTTTTTGAGGATTAGTGTGCTCTGAAAAATATCACTCCTTTTTTAGTGCTCACTGGCAGAGTTACTTTGCGTTACGCAGGATTTTTTGGTTAAAGGTAAAGCCTTTTCAACAATCAAGGTATACTTAACTGCTATCTCAGCTTGCCACGTTTTAGAAACTAGCCTGTGGGGCAGCACTGCCTAGTCTGTCATTTCATGAAGTGGGCACACCGTAAACTGGCTGTTTCCAGGCCTTTGGTCCCACTGTATGACTTGTCCTTGGTGCTGGACGCTCTTTCCTATCACCCCTTTGAACCCCTGGAGGGTGTGGGGCTGAAGTGTCTCTCTCTTAAGACAGCCTTGCTTCTGGCGCTGACCACAGCGAAGGGAGTGAATGATTTACAGGCGTTTGACGCAGACTACACTCGAGTGTGCTTGCTCACTAATCATGCTTTTCCCAAAAGTGATAGACTCAGCATACAGTTGATTGACGGTGGAGTTGGCAGCCTTTCAACCCCCCCACCCACCACCCCCCCACCATTAGCGACTGTGGAGGATCAGAGACTGAACTGCTTATGCCCTGTTAGAACGTTGCTTCATTATTTAGTTAGGATGCTGGACTTCAGGAGGCAAAACCCCTCAAAAGGGAAGCCGTTGTCTTACCGAAGGCCATCATACTGAATATGGAGGCTACAGCTGTGGCTTAGAAGTATAAGGGCTCACAGCCACCAGAGGGTCCGAGAGTCCACTCTACAAGAGGCACGGCGACATCTTGGGCCTTGTTCAGGGGCATGTCAGTACGGGATCTGTGCACCGCCACAGGTTCTACAGGTTAGATGTCGCAGGCCCATCCCTGGCACATGCAGTGCTAAGAGAGGATAGATAATACAGTTTAATGCAGCGCTAACCCAGGACCTTTTCAGCTACGGCTGGCTAAGGTAGTTCAAATGGCTTACTTCCATACTGTATAGTACGCAAAAGCAGTACGTGAGAATAGTTAGTGTGTCCGAATACGTGGTATTCATCAAACAGTGCACGCAAATTCCCCTTTGGCAGAGATTTTGAAGTACGCGACCACAGCACACTGTCCTATCCCATGATTCCACTGGAGCTGAAGAGCTGCTCGAAGCGGAGGGACGTCACTTCATGGCAGCTGAGCAGAGGAGACAGCTTTGTGTAAGTGTGAGTAACGTTAGCTTTAAACGAACAAAAAAATATAGTATAACACCAAATACAAGGGATTTATGTTGAACTACCAACCCATTGTATCTGTCCTTTACAGTTTTGACAAGCTGAAGTGCATAATGCATTTTTTTTTAAAGTTACCAGTGTTTATGTTGAGGTATTATAAACAAGTTGATTTAAACAAATATGTTGGCTTGTAAAATCGGTCTGTAACTGACTCCTTTATCAATGTAAATGTGGTTAACATTAGCGGTATGAGGTGTAAATGTTTATGTGTGAAAGTAGCTTTACGTTTCAGTAACTGCTAGCACACAGTTAACGTTAGCACAGTGTAAGCAGATGGTCAGTGAGTGAAAGTAGAACTCAGTTTTTTCAGTCTACAACACCCAACCTGAGGAGTTTTGCTGTGAACTACAGACTAATTTGTCTGTTGATTACCAGCTGAGGTCAATACAAAGCGAGATGATGTGGCTGGCAGTGTTAACGAGCTGAGGCAGTTTCAGTTAGTGTTAACTAACAGCTGCTGCCACCAATAAGTGCGTGAACTTTTCTCAAATTGTAAATTGCTGCTGATCAAGTAGCAAGTGAGGCCTTGTTCACCAGCGCAAAAACCCTGCAATCAGAGGATTTCAGTCAATATTAAAAGCCAAAGTCTGCTTAACGCTGTGATCCTGTTGGCCAACATGCTATAGTGGTGAGCCTTTTCCTTATTCCACTCTTACCGACAGATGGTTTAAACGATTGTACACTTTATTTTGAACAGGAAAGCTTCCACTGTACTTTGTTAACTGTCTTGTGTGCATTGTGTTGTAGAGCCTTCGTGGTGGAGCAGAACTTGGAGGGAAAGTCATGTGAAGTGGGACAACATCAGAGTAAAATACAATGTAGGCTGGTTTTGTTAAGATTACAAGCAAAATGTCAGTGAAACGTTAATGTTTTTTGCATCATGTTTTTCCTCGTATTGTGTTTGTAAATTTAAATAAAACAAGCAGGAGGTGAGAGAGAGAGAACAGAACTGGAGGCACAGAGAAAGAAAAGAGAATGTGAGCTGAGAGAAAGAAAAGGTTTCTTCATCTTTAAGACATGCTTATTAAAAATCATAATAATAAACTTTAACAATAAACATTAAAATGAAACAACTGCCAAAAGTCCACTGTCATTATTACATTTTGTGAGAAAAGAGAAGTGTTTGAGGGTGTGTCGATGCAAAGTCATGGTGTACCTTCAGATGTTTTTTTTTCTTGACTTCACTCCCAGTTATTAACAAATTAGAAAGAACCAGTATGGTCTTGCCCTAGTCTTGTAATTATACGTT